TCTTTGTTTTCATGGACAGGCTTTGGCAGCTGGTATTTAATTTGGAGACATTATTCTTACTCTTCTTTTGGCATCAACATGACGGCACTCGAAGACTCCTATGACGCCCACAGCCCTGTGGTGGCCGTTCATGTTTTCCTCCAGCTCGTACATCGTGACGCTGGCTCTGAAAGGGTTTGTTGCTCAGCATCGAAACTGCACATCTGTGCACAGAGCCCAGATGTTGGCAGCCTGGCTTTGGCTCTGACCCACAAACTTTCACAGTTTGTCATTCTCCACCCTCTCCTCTTAGTTCTCCGCTCTATCCGCTGTCCTCTAACTAAAGGCGTAAAAGCCAAAATCGAAATTTTAAAGTCAGTGATCCCGAACCTACTCCTCATCCCTCCGCTAACACCCCTCCCTCCCCTCTTGGCCTCCTCCCAGCAGAGCTGATAGTGCTGCACGGCTGTTCATCATCAAAACCTCTAAAAGGGTAAATAAAATTCAACAGGGGGGAGCAAATAAAAAAAGAGAGAAACCTGGAACTGAGGCAGGACGTTCCCCGCGGCGCTGGGAGCTGCCAGCTCTGATCTGCAGGAGAGGAGGAGGAGAAGAAGAAGAGGAGGAGGAGGGGAGGTTTTGTTTTTAGGAGTTAAGAGAAGTTTTGGACAGAGAGAGTGAGAGAGTTTGGAAAGCAGCAGATCCTGAGGGCCAGCAGTGAAGGGGGCTCACGGGTGGTTTTCATCGTGGTCTGAAAGTGAGTGATAGTGGGTGCAGGAACAGTTAATAAATATCACATTGTGGCACTGCTGTGGTTTCACTAATGGGGGGAAAGGACATCTAAACAAACTGTAATGTTGCCAGCAGCCTCTCAAATACAGCCAATCACATCACAAGCAGTAAACAAATCCTTTTAGTCAGCGCAGGGCTCAGACTGTCAGGGTCAGGTTTTTGACAGAATCACAGAGAAAGACAGATTCACCTTTCTGAAGAAGGAAAATCCTGCAGATCACTTTGATATTTAACGCCTTCCTCTGTTCCTAAAAACTCTGCACAACTCTCAGTTTGAGGCCGGGGTCACCGAGAGTTATTTACTAAACGCAGCAAGAAAACATGATGAAGTGTCTGAAAATGACGTCGTTTGAGAGGAGATCTTTGCAGGAGAAAATGAGAGCTGAAGAGCTTGGCCTGACATCGAAGTTAAATAGTCCTCAGACACTTAGAAGAGGAGGAATATTTATGTGTTTATAAAGACGCCTTTTCCAATCGTGTGCAGTAATTCAAAAGTTAAATTAGACCTAGCATAGATTCAGACAGGTATGACCGTCTTACAGATGTCCACATCTTCACAGCAGGGCGCCATGCTGAGGTTTGCTGGTGTGCTGCGGGCGAAGCTTCTGTATGATTCATGTTTGGTTTGAGGAAACGGCGAGGGAGTGTTTCTTCTTTTCTTTCTATCTCCACCAGAGCATGAAACATCTGATTTAACAGTTGTTTGTTTGTGTGTCTGTCAGCCATCCTCTTCACCGCCTACACTGTAAAAACATCCATAAAGCGAGGCGGTGTGAGGTTAATTTGAGCCGTGTTTTCACCATAGGAGGTTTTCACCAGGGATCATAAACCTTTGGAGGCGTTTCCACCACAGGAACTAGTCTAACTTCAGCTTCATGGACATCATTTTAACTTAAGGTCTCCTTTGGGAGTAGTAGTTTTAAAAGAACTTTGGTGGAGAGTCCGCCCTGGACTTCTCAAAACACATCAGCTGATTAATTTGTCTAACCATTGAAGCTCGTAAGACTGCAACCATTTATTTCTTTCCTGCTAATTTGGGTGGAAACACGTCTTTAACGTAAAAAACATGTCTCCAAAACACATGGATGTTGTTCACAGTCTGTAAAGAACCAACAGCTTTCACATCGCCATTCCTTTATGACATTTTCTCCAAACACAATCTTTACCAGTCAGGGCTGTGAAAATATATTTCTTCTCAAATGCATGACAACAAAAGAAAAGGCCAAGGATGACACAGACGAGGACAGAGTGACAAATGTTCAGACAAGGAAAACAGAACAAAAGAACAAAGAAGGAGGAGGAAGAAAGGAAAGAAAACAAGAGAGGAAATCAATCATAGAGACAGTCAAGACTGAAACATTCTCAGAATATCTGAGACCGTTTTTATTCCAACACTAGCGCTGCATTTAAACATGATATGTAAAAAAAACATGTTTGGGTTTTGATCACAATATTAAAGCAAACCAGACTCAACAACTCAAATGATCCTCATTAGGGGAAATGTGCTGCAAACTCAGAAACAATGCATCTTCATAATCACACGCACAAGTCCACAACAAATGCAGCAAATGGAAATGTGCTGCAAATGAAGAAAACGTGTCACCAAAACCAAAACGAAATCAGCAGATGTGCCTCTTTAACTTTAACAATGGGCTGCAAGTCAAGACATGGCCTATAGGGGGCACTCAGCGAAGCAGCTTATTGAGTTGTTCTTTTTTTCAACTCAGTGAAATCAAATGTACGGAGACGGGAAGGTGGCAGAAGAATGATTGGGACAGTAATAACAATAAAGCTACTGTGAGGAACTTTTGGTATCGATTTTGGCGCCTCCCGGTGGACAAAGAAGTCTTTGCTTTTCTTTTCCACTACATGGCCTAGACCACTGTTGTCATGTTTTGTGCTTTTCTGGCCTAGCATAATTTTTACATTTGTGGTTTATTAATTGCTGCTGGACTATTTATTGCGGCACATTTGTGAAGATGCGTTTGTCCTCTGTATGATAATCTTTGTATTTGCTCTGAAATAGATCTACGTTAGGCTTATCTGACTACATCTTGGTTCTATTTTGAAACCAAACCCACGTTCATAAGACGCATATTTATCTGGATAAAGAAAACAAAAAAGTGTCCTTTTCCCCGTCATTATTTCTAAGAATAGATCAATCCTGGTTCGATTTAATCAGACAGACCTGGCGGGTAGATGAACTGGACCTTTTGGACCTGATCACAGCCATGTTTCGGACCCTCGCTGACCTCTGTTTGGCCTCCATCTGTCCTGTTTTCTGTGCAGTTTGTGACTCAAATGAGCTTTGGTGTAAAAGCAGGTCAGGGTAAAGCCAGTAGATTACTTCTTCATGGCCTACCTCACACTGTGCACCTTTACCAGGCTTGTTATCCGTTAGTATTAGCCAGCTAGCATGAGGTCCAATCAGCTTAAACATAAAGATCCCAAACCAGTTGACCCCTGCGTGCCCTCAGCCTCTGAGCCCACATTAAGGAAGACTGTTCTTTGAAATTACTGACTGTGTATTACCGTCCTCTAAGCTGACTCCAGTAGTCATATGCTAAGACTGAAACTGTGAAAATGTCACCTAAACAAACACACCACTGTGGGTTTCCCATCAGCCCCTGCAATCACATGCTCATTTCCCTCACTTTTACTGGAGATTAAGATGGTGGAGGGGCTTATCACAGATCAGGGCTGCTTTTAAAGGCTTCATATGGGAGGGGAATGTGAACAGTGCAGGAGGGAAGTGTGAGTAAATCTGTTGAGGAATGGCGCACCAAAACAGTCAGCGCTCTAAACATCACGACTACAGATCCCGACCTTGTGCTGCAGGGCCGAGGCAGCGTCAGGCACCGCCAACAACCATCACTCCAGCTGGAGGGCGGCGCTGCGGTTTTTTCAGCTTAATCTTTGTCTTGTTATCTTCATCCATCTATTGTTGTTTCTCATTCTGCAATTTTTACTCATTTAGTCAGAGGTAATAGAAGGAGACAAAGTGAAACCTGAACTCTCTGGCTCTGTTCCCAGAAGTAAGTCGATCTTTCAGCGATGACAGTCCTCTAAACTATGTTGCTCTGCTCTGAAAGGTTTACTACAGCAGAAGAAGAGTGTTGTTGCTGTCCAGGCAACAATCTCATCACTGTTTCAAATGCAGAAAGTTTTGTATGTTAAAGTGACGAGTTAATATCTTATAAGCTGGTCAGACCTGCAGGAGGACCCAGGGGGGAGATGATGAGAACAGTCCAGGTCCAAGTTTTGATGCTTCAAGTGCAACTTGCAGATTGAAGAATCCAGCAAATTATAATGTGGGAAAATCATATAAAAAGTACATATTCACTTTGCATTTAAACTGACACACCACCGTCACTTCTGGAGCTTCATCAAAAATGAACAAAAGTACGAGACACACAGGGCTCTATTTTCATGCCTCGCCGGCGTCGTGGCGTCAGCGTCGTGGCGTATATGAGGCACAGTCTGGTCAGTCTGCAGTTTTTGTCTGTGTTTATTTCCCTGTGTGTGTCTGCATCTCTGTGAAGGATGCTCTATAATGGGAAAAATCATCATTACGATAATATAAATATAATATATAATAATATAATATCGACAGCAGTGGAATTATAAAAAAGGATTTAATATCTGCGTCACACACATTTAGGAACCATGCATGGTGCACACTTGTGATTACTACAGCCTCTTTGTGCTCATTCTGTCCTTTGGCTTTTCACAAACCTGCCTCCTTCTCCTCTCCTCCTCCTCCTCCTCTTCCTCTTCTCCTCTCTCCACTAAAATACAGTAACTTCTTGTCTCCCAAACTTTGCCAGTAGTTTCAGCCTCCTATCAGTACTGCAAACTCACTTCAACATTAAACCAATGTGCAAGAAAGGTGGAAGTGATCGATGGGGCTGTCTAATCTTTACAGACAATCACGCAAACACACACACGCACGCACGCACACACACACACACAGATGGACAGACAGCGGTTAGGGGAAATTTAAAAAACCTCAGACAAAGTTACTAAACTTGTGAAATTCACAATAAGTTAGAAAACAACTTTAACCACCGGCTGACCTCAGAGCACTTAGAGTTAAGGCTTTTTGGATGTCTGATGAGTGTGTCCTAAATTTACTAAATGATCTATTAAAATAGTTTCACAGTGAGAATAAAGAATCAGAAGAATCAGCTTCATTTTTTTTATTATTTAAAGTATCTTCATTATTTTATAGCGTCATCTTCTTCTGCTAAAGTGTCATCTTCATCCTTTTTGGCAGGACCTCTCCCATCAGAGATTTAACTATTTTCACGCAATCAGAGATGTGTGGGAGTGAAGCAGTTCCTCGTCTCTTGTTTGTCTACTTTCCTTCAGACAGCTGGTCCAAACCGGGCCGACGACCTCGAGCTGATGGATCTGCGACTCCTGACAGTCTGCCGCCAAAACACAACAGGAAGTGAAGGAACAGAGGACAAAAGGTTTTTGTTTCTACGAGTGAGACCTGCGAGTTTCACTCTTCTGTCTAATAAACTGTTAAACTTCAGGCTGATGAACCCAGTGTGGAGGTTTGTGAGTGTGTGTGTATATTTACCAGCATCACAACACAAACCAGCTGGAACATTAAAACGAGGAAAGAGACTCCAGAGATAATGAAGTGATCACAGTTTTTTATCGGTTTAACTGTCTTCATGGACAAATGAAGAGGCCGAGGAGGACGGGTGCAACAAACAGGGTTGCCAAAATCCAAGTCCAGAAAATAGTTTGGCACAATATTCAGAAAGAGCCACAGATAACTTCAAATCTATGAAGGCCTCACACTTTTGCTGATACTGTCCAGGATCTGTCTTACCGTGTACGAGGAGGGTTCGGATCCATCTTCTATAACTTCAGGAAAAAGGGGCAAAATACCAAAAATGCTTCTACCATCTCAGTTCAATGAAAAACTGCACATCATCCAACATATAAAAACTCAGAGGGAGAAAAGAGAGTCAGGTATTTGACCCAGAGTGGCTCTATAAAGGGAGATTTACCAGTGACCGAGCTGACGTATACTCAGAGGAGTCCATTTTGGAATATGAATAAAAGATTTCTTTGGGGGCCTTTTCTTACGAATGTAAGGAAGCCTCGCCCAGGTTCACACCTGAAAGAATGGAAGGTCCACACGAATGGTCAGTTTGACAAACTTTACTGGTTGCAGATCTGGGTTACAGCTTCAACAAAGATTGGTCTGAGACTGTTCAAGTATATACGGCTGTCCACATTTCCAAACATTCTGCTGGCATTTAGTTGACCTGAAGAAGAGTCCATGTAAGGTAAAAACAAAGGACAACATATTTTAAGGACCTTAGGTGAACGTATGGAAAGTCCATAGAGGGGAATACCACAGCAGAACATATTTTGGGTTGAGGATGGTTGTCGGAGGCCCCCGGCTCCAGCAATCTAACACCAACGCATCCCTGGTATTTGAGTTGCATGGCTCCACCACTCTAAAAGCTGACGGGATTGGCTGAAGAAAATCCATCTAACAGTGAGGAAACAGAACAGAGAGCAGAACAGAGATGCAGGAAGACGTTGTCACTCTTGGAGTAAATCTGCACATTTTGGCCGTTTCTCTGTAGTCAGGAATTAAAGGTTTAAAGCTCAAGAGGTAACCGCGTGTCGCTCTCCAAACCAACTCTAATTTGTCACAGAATTGTCAGGGTAAAACTCCTTTTACCTGATGACACCTATCGCTGTTTTTTTAAGAGGGGGAAATGGCTGGAAATGGATGTGCAGAGGCTAAATCCCTCAAAAGCAGCTTTGCTTCATTTACTGTACAACTTCATTCTCGTAATGATTTTATTATGACTTTATTCTCGTACATAATGATTTTAATCTCAAAGTCTTAATTTTTTTTTGTCTTATTGTGGCCCTAATACTCCATCTTACTCTTGTTATTCTATTTCTGGTGAGTCTCAGTTTCACTGTTATCGCAGCTTCATTTTGGCTCAAAGATCCCCCTTCAGATTGTAACCCCGAGTGCCCAACAAAGTTGAATCCAGACCCGGAGACTCAGATACTTGTGGAACTAAATTCATCAGAAACTTGAACTCTAATAGTTTATATAAGAATCTTTTCCTTTGTTTTGTGCAGCTAAGTCAATCACGCTTGTAGTATTCTACAAACCGTACCCCTAATGCTCTCTGAATCGGCGTTCTGTCTTGTTTTGGATGGTTTTTGATCACGATCTCACGCTGTGATGTTTATCTCTCACTCCTCCGACGCTCAATTCCGTGTGTGACTCTTCAGAGACAGGGCTGTTCTTGTGATCGACTGTTTTATGTCGCGCATGCCTCCGGGTCAAACAGCATGCACAATAAAAAATGAAGAAGGGCTAAATAAAGCACAAATCGACGCACGCATAAGGAAACAAAACTGAAAAAGAGGGAACGAAGGCAGAGCGGGGGAAATAAACAGACAAAACAAAGAAAAACAAAAGAGAAAAGAGTGGGAGCGACTTTATTAAATGTCATTAAATACTCATTACTTCTTTAAAATCAGTCTTTGTGGCTTTTGTGAAGGTCAAAGGTGGGGAAACGAGTGGGCTAACCAGCTACACGCCACAGCTGAACCCCCACAGCGTGACATGCGCTGGTGAGTGTCCGTCATAGGTCTGCAGAGGGACGCGTAGAGGGTGTTTCCAAGAGAGTGGGCGCTGAAACTAAAGGTCAATGAGACCAAAACACAACGAGTCAGCGTGCACTTTTTTTAACGCTTAATTAAAGGCGTTTTCTTTTTTTTAATCAAACAACAAAACCTGCAAAGTTACAAAGTTTGGTTTCTAAATAACAAAAATGTAAAGTTGTAAATCAGGAGGTAAACGTTTGTTGTCATAATCTTAGAAAGTAGACGTACGCTTATCAAGACGGGAGTCTGAGGGAAGACTTGAGACTCGCTTAATTCCTGCATCAACATTACCGTCTCTCCTAACTGGTTCATCTGAGATTCTAGCAAAAAATAAAGGGGGCGGGGCAAAAACAGCAGCTGGAAAGCCTCCAGAGAGGTGGCCAATCAGAAGAAAGTGGGCTTGTGGAGGGGGGGCCTTAAAGAGACAGCAGCTAAAACGAAGCGGAGGCTGAAATAATGATATCTTAAAACACCAGAGTGAGAAACTTGAGTCTGTTGTTGATCTAAAAATCAGGTAACGATATTAAAGAGGACTCAGAGAGGAAATATAGAAAGATTGGATAAATTCTGGACTATCTCTCCTCCTTATTGATCTTAAAGGACGGATCACACAACCTGAGATCATTGAGATTTAGACAGTTTGTTGTCTTCAGAGTCCGAGTTGAAATGGGAAAGAAGGTTTTCAGGTTCTCTGCCCCCCCTGAGTGGAATAATCTGCAGACTGAATTTAAGCTGCAAAACTTTGTGTCTTTGACTGTTTTTAAATCTGCAGTTAAAAGGCTGGAGTCCAAACTCTCAGAGTGTCTCTGTTTTTACTGATGTTTTCTCACATTTTTGTTCTGTTTTGAGTCTGTGTGACTGTTTGTTGTAACTGTGTATTGCTGCCATTTTTGGTCAGATCTCCCTATAAATGAAATCCTCAGATCTCAATGGGACAAAACTGGTGAAATAAAGGTTAAATAAATAAATGAATAAATAAATATCTCTGCATTATCACAGCTAACACTGACTTATGTAGACTGAGGATGAGAAGTCAGAATAATGTGACTTTAACTGGAGCTGCAGTCTTTAATATATTCATTAACTTAATTAAAATCCCTGCTATCATTTAATTATTGATCAAGATAAGTACAGTTTGAATCCTTCTGTAATAAAAACGGACGGTTAATCACATCAGTGCGATTAATTCGATCTGTAATGAGTCTCTTGTGAAGTCAGGAGTTTGGCTCTCTGGGGTCAAAGGTCATGTCCCAAAGGGGTCCCAAAAGCTGCTTGGTGCGCAGTGACCCTGAGGCGTCTGGATCCGTTCTGTGACGTGGAGCTTTGTTTGAACTGTTTTTCATGCTGACTCTGAGTTTTTTTTTTTTTAAAGCTCCTTTATTTAGCCGTTAAAAGTCTGCAGCCCGTATGAACTCTTATATAACTGACTGTACTGAGCGCCGTGTTTGTGTGTTATTGTGCAGACGCTGTGATGACGAGCGGGCACATGGTCCCTAAGAGGATTCGATGCCTGCCAAACACTTCTCAGTGTGTTGTTTTTTTTTTAACGTCGGTCCTGAGACGCCCGTGGTCCTCCCTGCCGTCCATCATGTGTCTCACTCTCTCGTCTCTTCTTCTTCTTCTTCTTCTGTTTGCAAACCTAAAAGAGGAAGTCTCTCTAACCACTTCTTTCTTTTGCAGAGTTTAGGTTTTGTGCTGATTCACTGCTGCCCTCCAAAGCTACACACACAACACACACACGCGCACACACACACAAGCTGCATTTTTATTGAATCTTTTTTATTTTTATCCATAACCCGTAAATCAAAAATAAGAAAGATAACTCCTCTCCAGATTCTGAATGATTTTATAAAACTAGGACTTCACGATTTTTTTTTTTTTTTAACCCACTTTTTCCAGCTAAACACCTTGTGTAACACCATAAACACAGACATGTAAACTCTTCAACCTTTCATCACCCGCTTTTATCTATTTTTGCATCAGCAGTCAGATTATTCACAAGATATCCAAAGATGAAAACGTCACCTGCATCAACAATTTCTCACAGATATTTCATAATAAAAAAATATACACAGAATTAAAGGTTTTGACCAATCAGAGTCAAAACGACAGTTTATGTGTGTACTCAAGAGGAATATAAGATGTAAATCTCTTTGAATTTTGTGTTTTTTTGGAGGAGGAGGTCATATTTTTGGGTATTTTTGTCTCTGTTAGAGTTGAAGAGAGACGGTAAAGATGGGGAGCACAGACCCATGTAACCATGACGACAGCCTCTGTTTGTGGGGCAGATGCTGACTTAAGTTCTCAAAAGAGTTATAAAATTAATGTGTTTAATCTGATGTTAAAATTGAGATAATCTGAGATGCTTTAGTGTTTCAACAGCTTTTAATTTTTTCAACAAAAAATTATAACAATAAATGTTCATCGAGCACCTTTTCTCTGTGATGAAAATAGACGGGGCGGGTATCTTTTGTGGGTAGAGCAAAGACTGTATAAACTATGGACAACTTGGTTCCGCCTCTCGCCTGTTTATGGATTTGAAGCCAGAAAGCTCTCAGTATTTCCACGATTTTTCTTCATTTCCTGCAACTAGTGTTGTGCGCATTCGGCGGGAGAGTCACTGTGATGACGCTCGGCTCAAACAGCGTATCCCCCGGGTGAGCGGCGCAATCCCTGAACGCCATGAGGCTGTATCAAGTGTCAATCATAGAAAACATGAACCCCCTAATAACTTTTAAAAACTGAGCTGTACAGAAAAAAAAGGACTTGAGCACAAACCAGTCTTACTGTAACTACATGTCAACATCACAACCAGGGGGGAGAAACATTTATATTCTGTGTAATAAATTTATAAAGTTTGTCCACAGCTCCATAAGCTTTGCTGGCGGAGGCGGGATTAATGACCTATACTGCAGCCCATCAACAGAGGGTGCTGTTCTTGGAGTGGCTTCACCCAGCAAGGAGGCAGATGGCGTCCGTTCTATATACAGTCGATGGCGTAGAGACACTTCTTGGACTCGCTGTGACACTTCCTGTGTGCGTGATGCCGCATTGATTAGGATTCTAACGTATTTACTGCGTAGCATGAGACGCTGATTGAACACGACAAACACGTATCCTGTGGGTTTTAGGCTTAAGCCAAAACATCCTCCCACATTTTCAGAGCGAAAATAAACTCGGGTTCAGAAAGTGATTTTAAGTCGAAGTTGCTCAGAGCTCCTACTCCGGGTCCTCACTTTGTTTTATTCTGGTTTTGAACGTTTCACCATCATCGTAAACTATAAATCACAGAAGATGAAGATGCAGCCGAGGGTCTGAGCCGGATCCCCCCCAAGACAAGTCAGAGAAAACAAATATTAGCCACAGAGAGAATATTTTTATGTAACCTCAGTAGATCAGGAGAGTCTAAACTTAATAAACCAACCAAAGAAACGACTCCAGATATTACAGAGAGAGAGAGAGAGAGGCATTGCAGATCTTGTCGACTCAAACTATGGAGGGCACTGGCTGTAACCACGAAGACCACATTTTGGGTCAAAAGTCACCAGGTTACAGGGTAACTCTTCAAACGGAAACGCCGACTTTCCAAGCGACCAGTAAAGATGACGTTTGTGTACCAACAAGTGAGAAAAGGAGGCAGTGAGGTTAGGAAAAAATAACAATGTGTGAAAACGACTGACGTTTAGGATGTTGCACAAATATCGATGCCCCACTTAGTGAGCGTCCTGGCACGTAAAACAAACATATAACTGACTGAAAAAAGATGCAGACTCAGACTTTCATATTTCAGTAGCAGGACTGACCTCAGAGGTCCACCATCTCTCACTTCATGCTCACTTCTCCACCTCTGTGTCTCCACTGAATTTACTGCTCTGATAAGGAAGGACACTTAATGCATGTTGCTTAATTTTTGTGTAATCTGTGAGGATGAACTGTGAACTGTAAACTGTACGCTGATGCCAGGGAACAGGAGGTTAACGGTAAAGCCGTCACATAAATCGAGATGATAGCGGCTAACGGCGCTACGGTTAACAGGATAAAGACATATGAGGGTACGAACGGCGAGATTAGTGTTTCTGTGAGGCATCAGAGGGATTAGAGCCGAGCGTCCTCCCAGCAGATTGATGGTTACAGCTCCTCAGCAGCTTCATTTACCCAAGAATAATGAGAGAATTCCTGCACAGATGATAATGCTGCACGTTATTCTGCATAAAGGCTGCAGGTTTGAAGAGTGAAAGCAACACTTTGAATGAGTTTAACTTCAGTTTCAGTTTGGGTAGACTCTGTTTTTAGTGGGTTTTAATGAGTTTCACTCTGAGTCTTTACTCAGTCTCAGTTCTGCTTCTGTGTTTGTTTAGATTTGTGGAAATTTCTTTAATAGAAGAAGAAAAAACAGAAGATTTCACATTCATTAAGTACCTGATTGTTTTGGTTGGGAGTGATCAGGTCAGAATCAGAGGACTTTATTATTCCTGAGGGGGAAATTCGGTCGGAAATGTTGGTGATGTTTCTGCATCCTCAAAGAAGAAACTCAAAGAAGGAAAGACCAAGGCCATGACCGTCGCACAAC